ATAGAGATGATAGGAACACTGAAGTCTTGAGGTGATGAGGTTAATGAAGATAGAAAATAGAAGAGGTGAAAGAATACCGCCTTGTGGGACGCCAGCAGAAAGACCGCGCCAGCCAGAGGAAGAATCTTCCGTCCTGACTGACTGCTGACGATCCTGAAGGTAAGAGGAGAACCAGTCCAGTGCTTCTTGAGAGACCGAGAAATGGGATAGGACAGCAAGGAGGAGTTCATGACTGACGGTATTGAAGGCATTGGAAAAATCAACCAGTACCTTAGCATTCTCCATCGCCACCTTAATATCACCAGTCACTTTAAGAAGAGCAGTAACCGTGCTATGGCTCGGTCGAAACCCCGACTGAAGAGGACTCAATAAATTGTTACCATAAATAAAGTGGGAGAACTGTTTGTGGACACAGGCTTCAAGCACTTTGGAGAGGAAAGGCAGAATAGAAATGGGACGAAAGTGAGTGGGAAGAGACGGATTGGACGTTTTAGGTAATGGGCGTACATACGCTTTCCGCCACAAAGATGGAAATGTGCCAGACATGAGGGAGAAGTTAACGATATGGGAGATAGCGGGGAGGAGGTGGACTAGCAATGTGGTGATCATTCTCCGACTAATGCCATCACAACCAACCGCTTGGGATTTCATAGATAGGACAATTTTCTTAATCTCTCCCTCTGCGACCGGACCAAAGAAAAAAGGACTTAAGTTAGAACGCGGTAGACCATTGATGTAAATAAGGGTATCATGTTCAGATTGACTGTCCAACGTGAATGAGGTAGTGAAATGTTGGTTCATGGAATCGAGACTTATGGATTGAGGAAGGTCTACATGACGCGACCTGCCGATACCAAGAGTTCCAAGGAACTTCCAGATATCGGCAGGGGAGGAAGAGGAAATATTTTCAAGAACATGGCGGCGTTTAGCATTCCGTATCATCTGATTACACCGATTTCTCGCAGTCTTATATAGTTGCCAGTTGACTTCGACACGGTCCCTCTTATACGTTCTAAAAGTACGATTTCGGCGTCTCATGGCCATCCGTATACCCTCGGTCATCCAAGGCGCCGGCGGCCGTTTAACTCTAACCTTTCTAACCGGTGCATGGGTATCATATAGTGTAGTCACTACCTCGTTGAAAATGTATACCTTGTCATCAACAGCAGCGGCATCGATCAGGGGTGCCCAGTCAATACGTGAAGCATCATCACTCAACTTCTCCATATCCATCCGCCTAAAGCAACGCCTGTAAAGGAACTTAGGTTTGGGTTTTGGGGGTTTGAGGACGTAGGAGAGGAAAATCAGGTCATGATGAGAGAATCCGGGTGCATCTAGTTGACCATGAGAGGAAACAAGGGAAGGATTGGAAGTGATGATTAAGTCTAGCCAAGTGTCCTCGCCGATATTATTGTGGTGAGTGGCATGTGATGGCAGAACATGAAGGCTGACTGACTCAAGAAGGAGTTGGAGTTTACGGGAACGAGAGGAGTTTTGATCTAGGAGATTGGTATTAAAATCACCCATGATGACATAATGAGCATACTCTGTACCCAGAGATTCAAGAACTGATTCGAATTCAGTGAAATAGTCAACAGAAGGGGGACAGTAGACAACACCGAGCACCGCTTTAGCGCCCTTGACACAAACCTCTAGAAAAAGAAATTCAGCACGGGCAGCAGCAGGAGAAGTTGAAATAATTTTGTAGGAGAAGTCACTGCGTAAGTAAATGGCTACGCCACCCCCCCTCCTCTCCGTCCGGTCATTCCGGATAAGAATAAAGCCCGGCAGAGGATAGGAGGTAGAAAGAAGATGCGGTTTGAGCCAAGTCTCGGAGATCAGAACGGCATGAACATTGGCATCACAGAACGCCTCGTATAAATCAGGGAAATGGCTAGGGACACTTTGAGCATTGAGATGACACACATTAAGTAACTGGCAGCTTTGGTTATTGTTAAATTTATTGCGTAAAACAGTACCGAGAGTATCTGTCACGGAGGAGTAGCTTTCGTCACTCAAACTGGTATCAGATTCACGAGCAGAAACATAACATTCACTATCCGAAGACATGAATACAAATAAAAAACTTTAAATATATATATATATATAAGATAAATAGAATATCCAAATGATATTACCGACAAACTTAGTTTACTACAACTTGACTTCGGCCGTTCTGGTTATCTAGCTAATAAAACAGTTATTAGATATATTAACAATGGCTAACGCTAATTTGAACATATACTATTAAAATATACGCGGCCTCCGTAGTAAAACAGATGTTTTTTATCGTCAGATATGTCTCAGTTCGTATGATGTTATTGTTCTTACAGAGACATGGTTGGTTGATAGCATTTCCGATTCGGAGTTATTTGGAGATGAATACATAGTGTGGCGTCGTGATCGCGATTATAACCTTACCGGACAGACTCGTGGAGGTCGTGTACTGATAGCGGTGCGTAGACAGATATCAGCAACACCGCAGCCCTTGATTAACAGTACTGCTGAGGACCTGTGGTTGACATTGAATTTACGTCAACCAGGCACTAGGACCCATTTCAAATTAAATATATGTGTTGTATACTTGTGCAAACAGAACCGAGGTTTGTCTTTTTCTGCACAACTATTAAACTTTCTAAATAGTGCAAATCAGGTCGTGTTAAACAATCCGTTAGACAAATGTTTGATTATAGGGGATTTTAATATGAGTGGTATTGTCTGGTATTCGAATAATAATAAGTACTTTATCGCCTAGCAATGTGTGTAGCAGCGACGAGTATATGCTGACAGATATTGCAAGTCTTGGCCCTTGATCAATATAACGGAATATTAAACAAACATGGTAAGACTCTTGACTTGGTTTTATGCAATGAGATAGTCTCCGTGAAGGAATGCTTGGATCCACTGTCACCTGTTGACAACTATCACCTGGCACTCGTCATTGCTGCAAACTTTGCTGAATTTATTTGTTTAACACCGGCTTCACGTACTCAGTTCGTTTATAACAAAGGAGACTTCACAGCCATAAATAATGAATTATCAGCTAAGGACTGGGCTAGTGAACTTAGACATAAATCAATCACCGAGGCCGTCAGTTATTTTTATTCTACTTTAGCTGACATGCATAGTAAATTACTACCCACTAGAATAGTCTCTCACAGCAAGTCTAATCCGATTCGGTTTTCCTCGTCTTTAAAATCATTGATCAAAGAAAAGTCCAAGTACTTGCGAAAATTCAAATTCTACTGAAAGTCTCCCGTATGACTTTCAGATAAGTCAACATTTAACCTTTTACGTGATCGAGTTAAGAAACTTGAATTGGAGTGTTATAACTCATACTTGGATTCGACCGAAGCGGCAATCGAGAAAAATCCCAAACGATTTTGGAGCTTCGTTATACATCGATCTAAATCAAATGCAATACCTAACCACCAGAGGTACAACCAAACAAGCGTCTCTTCGGTTCAGTCGTTTTGTGATGCGTTTTGCGATGCGATGCGAACGTTCCTTCAGCCTTTGGTTCCAATCCTCCCACCTACTCTGTTTTACGGATGACATGAAGATTTTCTCATCAGTATCACATTTAGAGGACGTGAAGGTTCTGCAACAAGACTAGACGCGTTTGGATGAGTACTGCCAACGTAACAAACTAGACCCAAACCCACTCAAATGTAATGTAGTTTCTTACAGTAGAAAACGTGACACTGTCCGACGTACGAGCTCAAAGGACAAGTACTGGATAAACGTGATATAGTTCGTGATTAAGGCGTCCACCATGACTCCAAACTTCTTTTTGATGTCCATGTCGATGAGATTGTCGCAAAGGCTTCTAAGGCTCTTGGTTTCGTGATGAGGATCCCCAGACGCTTCAAAAAATCTTGTACTGTACTTATGTCAGGAGCCATCTCGAATATGCTTCGCAAATATGGAGCCCTTGCTATGACAAGTACATAATTTACACATTATATACAAATGTGCAAGAAATTTTAGATTCAGCCTTTAACTTACCGTCGTCGGTTAGCTGATTGTACATTATTCGCCAAAATAATCTCTAACGCAATTGACTGCCCAGAACTATTACACAAGCTTAAATTTAACGTTCCTTCCAGATACGTTAGGCAATTTCAATTCCCCGATCATCTTGAAGTTACAGAAAGAATTCTAATATGTTGCGAGCAAGTAGAGATTTCAACATATTATGCAAAGAATACAATTTGGATTCTTACACCATAAAAAATGCTAAATCACAATTTCTTTCGAGATTAGCTTATTCAAACGAACCGTGATAATTAAATGTTAATACCAAGTTCGTGCATTGAGTGTTCTTGAAGTTATATCGATAATGCTGTTATCTTACTCGTGAAAACCTGTAATTGGCTTTCTGTTACTTATTGTTTTGCCTAAAATGGTGACTCATAGCTATTGGGTTTCCTTAAATAAAATAAATAAATAAATTGCCTGACTCTAGGTAATGCTGAGGAAGAAGACTGTTGGGGACTTGGAATCCGATTTCTTTTTCGGCGCACTAATGTCATAGTTCAAATCTAAAGTCTAATACAAAAAGGTGGGGTCCGGTTCAGACAAGCAATCCTATTAAGGAATATTTATGTGATGACACTTCACACTTCTTAGCTTCTGCAGTACCGAACTACAGACTAGTTAAGACTCAATTTTTCAATAAATTGATTAAAGTTAGTGCCATTTTTTCCAACTTTATCGAACCAATTGATATTGATACAACATTTTTTATTTATTTAAATTATGTATTTAATTAATTGGAAAAAAAAAAAGATTTGGCCGTAGGGACTTGATATCCGAGCCCTAATAAGATATTTAGGAAAATGGAATCACCGAATTGCGAAGTGTCAAAGTTTAAGTTTTGTTGACAAAAAGTAAACTTTTTCTATTAGTTTTCTACTACTTCTAAAAGTTTTCCGAAACTGTTTTATAGGTTGAGAGTTAAATCTTAGCATATTTTTAAAGAAGTTACTACAAGTGTAATGGGAAAATCGGCAGTTGATGACGATAATAACCCAACTTCGCCAGAATCTGATCCAACAAAATTATTGGAAGCTGCTTTGCAGCAGATGGATGGCATTATAGCCGGTAAGTGGTTATTATATCTAAAAAACTTTCATAAAACAGGTCAATATATATTCGATGTTAAATAGAGACCAAGATTCAAATTTCTCTTTGAAAAGTTCATGGTTCACTGATTATTGGGGTCTTATTTCCTTTGATAAAATCACAACATTATTGGTATCCTGGAACTGAAAGGGAGTTTTCACCACGTTATTGCCAAAATGTGTCACAAAGGAAATTTAAAAAGTTCAAGGTATGATATAATTTAGATAATCCTGTATTACTTGCCAAGGCCTTAGAAACTTATATCTACAACTAATTACTTTGAGATGATATGCCATTTCTAAGATTAAATTGAGCTACTTTATTTTAATTACTTTACATCAAGTATCAATACATGGGGACCTAATTCAATAACATAGCTCTAAAGTTTTCTAGCATTTTTGCAAAATGTGACAATAAATAAATAAACCTGAACTGTCTCCCACTTTGTTAACCACTTTGTAAGGTAGTTATTGGTATTTATTTATTACTTACCTGTCATTGGGTTTTACTAATATGTTAACAAAACTTATACGACAAAATTTGAACTAATATCTCTATTGTAAGCATGCAAAGCAGCCCTATCAATAGTGGCTCATATAAACTATTTTTTTTAAACTTGCTTACATGCTATTAATGGATGCAAAAAGCCATGTTTGGAATAAATAATAATTTTTTGTTCCTCTGAGCTTATTTCCCAAACTAGGTTGGGATCGGCTAACGCTAAGATATCAAAGTTGTGTAGAAAGACTTGTTGAACATTAAAGGGCATTTACTCATAACAATTGCCACAGATGTTGGTATGGCAACTGGGACTGACGGCTTAACATGCTCTCCAAGGCATAGAGGGATCTCAATGTGTAAGAATAGTCACCCATCCAAAGAATTACCCTGGATAGGATTGCTTAACTTTGCAATGTCTTAACCTACTTGGTTGCTCCTTAGCCATGAACCCTACAATGGAATAAGTATTTGTAAGTTATACAATTATTTATCCTATGTTGGCATCATTATTCAATGCACATATAATAATATAACTTTACAATATACATTACACACTTATGTACTACTAGCTGACCCGACAGACTCTGTCCTGTACGCACTTCTTAACTAAAATAACATTTTCATCATAATCAGTCCAGCCGTTTAGGAGGAGTTCAGTCACATACAGTCAGAAAAAGATATATAACTTCATATGGTGACACTATTCTAATCCATCTGTCTAATTACTGCTTTATTTATGTATATTTTTTTTTTTCTATGAAATATATACTCTTCTTTTTCAATATTTTTTCAAACTAGCTGGTCTTTGTTTTGGCAACTTTGTTCACGTGAAATTTGAAAAGGGCTGCCTTAATGGGTATGATTCCCTGACTACTATTCTGAGAAGAAAAATAGCCTAAGTTACTCCTTATATAAAAAGCTATCTGCTAGTAAAATATTATCAAAATCGGTTCAGCCGTTTAGAAGTTTACTGTAACAAACATACAAACATTTTTTTTACTTGTTTCTAGGCATAGTGCAAATAACAGTGTGAGCATGAAAAAATCTATTATTTTGACATTACAAACAGACACTTCAATTTTATTTATTTCTATAGATAAGGCTTTATTACAAGCTGCTTGTATATTGAAACCTTTTTGAAATAGTTAAAAGAAGCCTATAGTCTGTTTTTTAATCTCGTAGACTAAACTGACATTACGAGTGTTGTCAGTTTATTGCAATTCTTAAATAGTGATGTGGCACAACCAAAACTTAGCGTTAATAAAATCAAGTATCGTTTTTTTACAATAAGTTATCCTGAAATAATGTGTTTATCCTGAAATAATGTGTAGGTACTTATTTAAAACGTAATAATACAAAATTAATAATGTAAAACATATATTTTTAATTAAATAACTTAATTACAGGTATTCGCGTTAATCTAATTCAGATAATGACTCCATGTCTGAGGAATATTATGAGTCATCAGAATCGCCACCTACTTCTATGATAAACCTATCAGTAATGTCGTCGGTTATATGGCCCAGATGACACATTTGATCTTCAATTTTAATTACATGGACTACACAGTCTTGTCACCGCTGCGGGGTCACTTGACGAAGCCCTTCTTCAAAAAGGCTTCGTACTTCATTCATTTTGAATGTTTTATTATTTTTAGTGACATGCCCCTTTACTTGAGCCCAGACCAACTCAATCGTTCGAATTACGTATTCGTACAATTGTTCGTATGGTGTCAAGTTCCATAATTGCCGTATTTTTTAAGTTCTGCCATTTCGTAAGAGAAAAGGGTTAAGATTGCCGTTTTAACGCGTACGGGAACAACACTGATGGCGTCTATAATTTTTTTTTGTTTAATCTAAAGGCATCGAAACATGGTCGGGTTACGCATAGCGTTGCGAGGTCAGATTTCCCTGGCAGTTTGTAGCACGTCGTGCAGCCGTGTGAATTTTAAATGTAAAACTTTGAATGAAAATTAAATTCGTCTATTATAAATAAAAAGTTACGATTCAACTAACCGGTATCGTAGGTACAACACTGCACAAAAGAGCTGGCAACATTATTTGTAAATTTGACATTTGCATGTGTCAATTTAGTCTACGAGATTAAAAAACAGACTATAGTCAGATAAAAACAATTATTTTATATACACATTCTTATGTTTTGAAAATTTCAAATCCTTTTCTAAATGAAATCACAAAGAATGTATTTAAGTTGTAATCTAAGTATAATATGTATTTATTTATTATAATATAGTAAAAATATTATTACTTACGGTTTAATAATTAAAGCATAAGTAAATTATTATTAAAATTAACTAACGATAACTAATATCCTGAACTTATCAAAATTATTATTTCTTATTATCAACCAATATATTTTAGAGAATAACCTTTAATATTAGAGATTAGTTTTGAGATGGAAAAAGTTATTTATGCAACTTAAGCAAATATGTCAAGCATGTTTCTCTTTGCAGAACTGTCACTCCTTATATAGCAGTTTCCTTCTCAGTTCGCTTTATTTACTACCATCATAAACTTTCATATTTTTCGAGGGAAATCCCCTTTGCGCCGTCACCCCACCGGGTTTGCGGCGAGGTGGTGTCGGAATCGTACCGACGAAAACCATACGGTGTGTTACTCTGCGCCTGTGGAGTGGACCCAGTCGTCTCGTTGCGACGCTGGGTCAATAAAATTTACAATAAAATTTAAACAGATAAACAGATATTTATCTTGCCACAAACTTAAAAAAATAAACAAAATTATAGCAATTATAACAAGTGGTAACTTTAACTTAAAGTATTCTTTCAAATCAAAACAGAAAATAATTTAAACCCAAAAAATAACAATAAGGCTCTAAAATCAGAGACCTAATTACAAAAGACATTACAAGACATACAAGACTACACAAGTAGTAAGTATAACTATGAAAAAATTAAAATAGGTATGTTATTTAATTTATTTGCCATTTAACTTATCATTGACCACAGTTATTGATTTATTTACTGAGTTATTTATTTTTCCTTCAAAAAAATTGTGTTAGTCTGAAGATATTTATTATTCCATCTGTCCGACAAAAATGGCTATATTTTTGGAATGGAATAAGATACGAAAATGCCTGTAAGTCTCAAATATGTGGCATGTTTTAGGTGTTTTGAAAATAGGGAAAAGTCAATATCGCCAAAACCGGACTTATTTAATTTTCCATTTTCCTCTACGGCGACGAATGGTGACTCGACCAATTTAAATGAAAAAAGCTTGCTCTTAAAGTTACCATCTTAAAGTTTGGAGCAAGCTGTCGGAAGTGCTCGTCGAAGAGCCACCTCCCGTCGAGGATCAGGCCACCCAGCGCCTCAATGCGCCCGACCACCAGAGAGACTCCCCTAGAGGCAAGGCGCGCCGCCTGATGAAAGTTCGCCCCCCGAGCTGTGGCCAATGTATCATCGGCGTAACAAATTACACCCAGCCCAGAAGGAAAATCAACTCGAAGGGCCCAGTCGTACTCTATGTTCCACAGGAGGGGTCCAAGAACAGACCCCTGTGGAACACCGCACGACATGGGCCGAGTACTAACAGACCGTAAGCTAAGCCGCGGAAGGACGGACGGATCGATGATCGGAATTTTATTCGGTATGATTCTGTTGATAATATTATATTAACAGTTTTTTACTCAATGCATCTGATTGATTGAAAAAATCAATCATTTTTTCTATCTGTTTTGGTACGGTTACTCTACGGAACGGAGGACTATTTTTTAATGTAATAGGTGTCAATCGAACAGACGTGTCACGTGACTATTGCCACCCATGGACACCTGCAACTCAAAAGGTACAAGTGCGTTAAAAATTATCATACTTGGTGTGCCCCCCTCCTCCTCCTCCTCAGAATTGCCTCAATTGGGGAATTGGTTCTCCGGCAACGTCACTCACTCGGTGAAAAACAAGGAAAGAATTGCTTAAGGTCGAGCCGGTCCATATACGCGACTTTGAGAAATAGAAAATGTAAATAAATAGTAACAGGGATCCTTCTCCTTTTCAGTTTGGAAATGGAATGAGAGTTCTGAAAAAAATATAAATGTGTACACGCGAGCGAAGTAGTTTACTGCTTTTCTTATGAAATACATACATCTTGAGTTACATTATGTTTATTTCTTATGCTTCTATCGTTCGCTATCTCACTTTAATCTCACCCATGGCCTGTTTGTCTTTCTGTTTTAGGGAGACATCAACATCATTGAGACCGTGTGGGTAATAAATTTCATTTAAATATCAAAATAATATTGATTATAAAACGAGAACGCTAACAACAAACTTTTCGTTCATAAATCTACATTATTGAAAAGTGTTAAGGCAGAGCTTGGACTCTCGCCTGTTGACACTTCATGTTACATTTATGCTACTTTAATACGATCGAACTGTTGCTTACATTCCCCGATCTATCTGTATATCCCATATCAATACCGAAATATATATTTAGCATAATGTGGGTTTTTAACACGTTTCTACCTGCGTCTTCGGAGAAACAGCTAAACGAGTGTTCAGGATGTATGTATTAATGAATTACAGATCTACTATTTACGTATTTATGTAACGATAACAATACTTAAAATAAAATTCAATGAATGGTATTGGAGTGTAACAGATGAATTGTAGGTTTAACAGGAAATAAGGGTGAGATTTCGGCGGGAGAGGGTGCAAACTGTTGAACAGAGGGTGGTTGTGGCGCCAGTCCGCCGCCCGCACGCAACCTCTGCGGACGCCCCGAGGCGTCCTGAGGACGTCTCCTTAGCTCATTTTCTCGCGAATCGCTAGCTCTTGTTACACGTTACCGCAGTTACTTACATGTTCTGACTTCTATTACAGTACACGTTTAGAGCGGTATTCAATTTTTCTATATGGCCTAATTCAAAACTGTTAGAAACTGCAATTATATGCGGTGTATTATTTTATATAAACTTACATTTTAAATCGTAACTGTACTTGTAACACAAAAACAGTTTATTTTATATTTAAGAGTATGTTCTAGTGCCCGATTTTAGTGCTTAAGCACTAAAATAAATAAAATCTAATACTCGATTTTATATTTACATAGAAAGGTACCTTTATTTAAGTTTTTTATGATATAGCGGGATAATCTTAATTTTTTTTTTAAATATATTGGATTGTAACGAAATTACAGTCGAGGTACAAGGTGTAATGTAAAGGGGTTATGTTCGTTTTATTCTTGTAGTTTTATTTTATTATCTGTATGCATCCCACCACCACATTGTAACAGTCAGCTTTAATTTTTAACAAACACAAACACAGGAATTTAATCTCAGGTGGATGGTGCAGATATTAACATTTTCGGCTTTCGATTATGTCTTTCATTTTCATTCCACATATATTAGAATGGAGCTTTTGTAAGTTTTCCGTATGTTGACTTAATAATAAAATAATTAACTTACCCACTTAATAATTTTATCTCAATATATATCTATATACAAAAGGGTCACTGTGTGCTCGTCTATGTTGTTCTTGCTGTCTGATTACTTTGTTATAACTGTACCCGCGCTAAAGTTAAACCAAATTTATTCATGTTAACAGACATAAGAACAAATATACGACGACTGCAACGCATGCCTATGAAATTGCATTTTTAAGACACATTCATTTATTTTTGTTCTGCAAACAAAAAGATTTCTATTTACTATTTTACCAATGTTCGCTTTTTCTATCTTCTATTTACAGTGTGCCACTAAGGTTTTATCGACAGATGTACCCAAAATTTTCACCAATGTAAATCCTGCTTCTCAGTTCCTAGCGACCCACTAAGCTCAACTTGATACATGTTGTCCTCATGAACTTGAGGCTTTACTCTCAAAGAAGGTCACATTATTTTTTGAAAAAACTATATACAGAAACACAAAGCTTCTCTGCGATTTTTCTTTCAAATTCGGTTCAAATGTATTTACGAAGATATATCAAATTTGATATAAACATGTCTATGTTATATTATTATGCATGTTATACGTATATAAATTAATCGCGAAATCATATTTTCTCATTTTTAAACATTCTGTGATCCACCCATTCTATATCTGACACACCAAAGAATTCAAGTTACAAGCAATACATAATCCCCGACAAAGCGTAGAATTTAAGTTACAAGCAGATACAACGCCTATGACAGAGACAGACGTAGACGGTCTGTTTTATAATAAGGTTATATTTATTAAATGCAACAGAATAACGTCTTTTGCAGTACAAATAGAACATTGGTTTGAGCGAAGTTGAACGTTGCCTCCAGAATAATTTATTAGTTACAAAAGGTTTTCCCTGTTGCAAATTACAAATTTCTGTTATTTTAATTTGTTGTGTCTTTAAACACTTAGGTATGTGGTTTCAATTTGTCGAATTTGAGTCATTTGTTTATTTGCCATTGTAAGAATTAAAAAGTGGAACAGTAATATAGCGACCAACAACAAAGTCCAGCAAGAAAAAGTAGGGCATAGGGTATTAGTGGACACTTACGAGTAAGTTTGAAAAATTAGTGACAATGTTGATGTGTGTGCTTTAAGCGGCTAGAATGCCAGGGTGTTGGCATTTACCTGAACATGTGACTCGATGGTGGTTGCTGGATATCTGCACCCGGAGATTATTTGGCGATGTCGATACTACGGAATCCCAGATACCGCAACGTATGCTCATGTTATTGTGTAATATCAAAAATAGCAATTGTTTTTATTGTACTGATTTAGTTCTGCTTGTATTATTTATTTAATTTTACAAGTAGCATTTACTCGTAGTAGCAGTTAATAATGCCAAAAAACTTCCGTTTTCATATTTATAACTAAACGACTACTTTATAGATGATACAGTAATTTTCTTTTGTGTAGAACGCATTTTATGACCAGAAAAATCGTGACGTTCCTTAGCGAGCTTTTCAATTTTACAATTTGATCACCCTTGTCCTTATTGGCCTATATTATTATAGTAATAAATTATTGACATCCGCAATCCGCTACCAGGCAATTAGTAAGTTTAAAGATATATCACTGTTTATCTATCTTGAACGATTTCGATTCTGTTTAGACTTATTCCAATCGTGATGTACACTTGCGAAGAGTTTTAACTAAAAAACCGGTAAATTGTGATTTGAAATCGCGTGGAGATATCTCCATTTTAGTATAAAAGTTACATTACATTATAGTTAAAGAGCAGGATCTCTCATACCTACATTCTAACCTCAACTGGATTTTATACGTACAATAATAACTTAACTAAAATATAGTTTTCTTATACAAGTAATGAAGTATTTTTTGTGTTTTTATTTTTAGGGTTCTTAATTTTGGAGATAATCTTTTTGATTTTTTCATCATCAACATCATCAACAGCCTTTAATAGTCCACTGCTGGACATAGGCCTCTCCATAGAAAGAAGGTTTTGATTTTTTAAATAACTTTAAAACATTTTATCTTAAATAGATATTTTTATGACCCCATATGCAAATTGATTAAGTTTTATCGATTCAGTGATCCCTTTGACAAATGTTACACCTTAAAGTGCTAAGTTTTGTTGCAGTTAGGTGTACAATTCTGTTTCCCTTAAAACCTTATTTACATATAAGAGAAATAATTATACATATGTATAGGTTCAACACCAACCACAATCGTAGAGCATTTAATGTACACACAATGTACATCATTTCAATTTTTTTATTGTAGATTGAGAAACAGTGAACGTCAATATAATTTTATGGAATGTTGTAAGTAGTACAACCTAAATGTACATACGTTTTTATTTAAAATAAACCGTAACAGTTACATTACCCCAAACCTCTAAAATGCATACGGGTGCTAATTACGAATTGTGCTATTTATTTAATCCTACAAATAAATGAGTTACTCATAATATACGTGGGACTATAGCTACACTATGGAGATATCTCAACGTTCCTACTATTATAACGAAGGGTAAAATGATGAAGATTTTTTCAGCCCGAAGCCAAAGCGCTATTGTTCCTAGGCGGATGCAATTCACTCGGTCCCCGCGCAATTTGCGCGAGTGGAGTAATTTTGAAAAGATTTGTGTAGTGGTGTTTATGCAGCCTGGCTTGCCTATGAAGTTGTGCACGATGATTAATGATAATGAGAAAAATAATGTATTATTACTTATCAAATCATGAAGTGTTTTTAAGAGATTGGTTCAACACCAGGTGCATTATTTACATGGTGTGTAGGAAAAGAATATTAAAATGATCCGTAATGTAAGTACTAACGTATGCTAATTCCTGATTTCGTCCTAACAAGTCGACTCTTTTACATAAAATAATATATATAAGTATTTTGTTCAATCTGTATATATACTTATTGGCTTTGGGACATAATGTAATAATGTGTCTTGTAGCAAAAATATGTAGGTAACATTATTATTATATGCAGTGAAGCTCGTCGAAGTATCGTATCTCAGTACATTTTACCGCAATTTAATATGTGATATTGATACGGTTAGGTAAAAACTTACAGTAAAAACCAGTTCGAATGTTGCTGTTATTCGTTAACGTCGCATTGTCGTCTAAAACAAAAACCTGGCGTCTGACGATTATCAGCGCCTTCACGTGGAAGTGTTCTCGACTTCTAAACCCGGTGTTTAGACTAACAACGCGTATGCAAGGGCCAGTCAGGGAATGTGCGCGAGCCTCACCGACGCGGCCGGCCGGTCCGGGCGAGCGGGAGTCGGCGCACGTTACAAGCTAGCCGGTTTAACATCGTTAAACAATACTTAGAAATGCGTGACGTTTCCTTACTAAACAGATACGACTACTTTGAGTAGCGATCAATGCCTAGTAAGTCGCGACACAGCAGAAGACTTACACTTCCGATTACCTACGAAGCCTTTTTGCTTATATACTAACCGCCGAAAAAAAGTCGATACCGCGATTTATATCTCACCTATATATAAGAATTTACACTTACTGTATTGCCATGAATAATTTACATACCGTATGGGTTAAATGTCGAAGAAAATATTATCACAAAATAAACGTTCATTTTTGCTTACCTTTACGAAAAGATTTTTTTTTCTCTCAGCGTTAACGCGCATTATAGACAACCTTAACAGCGCCATCTGTTGCGATGTGAGAATTGTACAGACTGTTCTTGTTACATAAAGCGGTAATGTTCTTCAGCTGAGCAGCGCTCAATGTATTACCTATGATTGTATTATTTTAGATACAAAAACATACGGTTAGATAATTTCTTAGCTGATTATATAGTATTTCCATATCGTATTTGTACTCTAGAACTTAGATTACGTTAATATGTATTTTTTTTCAGATAAATTGATGTATCGTGTCTAGGATGATTTTTAACGTTGTGTTGCTAATAGTCCGTAGTAGTTAGTGCTCACTTAGTCTTGTTTTGATACATTCCAGAAGCGGGTGGGACAGGTACGGGCAGCACAACAAGCGGACCGGGCCGTGCAGCGCGGGCCCGTGCTCTAGAACTAGCGCAACAACTAGCTTCGTCACTCCAACATGCAGTCCCGCCACCTCCAAGGCCGGACTTTACCACTGCAAGTGCAATATTACGGTGGCTCCAACAGAATAATAATTCCGTTGCCCTGGTTAGTGAAAGTTTTACTTTTTTACTTTAGTTTAATGGTCCTATATATGTTTACTTATATTTTAGCGGTTTTTATGTATTCTTTAGCAATCGTTTAGTTAGTAACAGTCTGATTATCCCAAATATTAAGACACGATGGTCTTCGTGAATCATGACAGTTTTGTATGTTGAAAAACTTGATGTATACATATAAAAAAAATACATAACTATGTATTTAGATACCTTACACTCAAATGTATAAATCTCAATAATTAGGTTCAAGATAAAAACGATTTTCAATTAAAGGTCTGGGATCTGGTCAGTCCAAAATGTTGATTGGTCTGCTTATAAACTATCTTGGGCTTAAAATATTTCTATTCAACACTCTTAAGGGATAGATATGACATATGATCCACATGGGATCAAATCTCTGAATATAAAATGAAGACCATCATTTCAACGTACAGAGGTATTTAATTATCTTTACAGGAATTAACGTGCTCACGATAAGTATTAAGTAGGTACATACCTTTGAAATGATAGACGTTTCGACCAGATTGCACTGGTCGTGGTCACAGCCTGACTGACTAAAAGTTAGTAAAAAGGTATTTACTTCACACATTCCATTCAAGTCAAGGAATTAAAACTAAATATCATTTATCGACAAAAATCGACCACCAAGTGAACTTTACTTTTCCTATTCTAATTAACTGACTTCAAAAAGGAGTAGGTTCTATGTTCCACTGTATGTAATTTTTATTATTAAAATGTATTTTATATAACTCTATTAACAAAAAACGAGAGAGAAGTTGAATATCCACTGCTAGCATTTCTCCAACTTAACCAATTTAACTGGGAATAAACTCAAGTGTAAGAGCTCGTTCCATCAAAAAGAAACTGTACCTCAATATTAGAGCTGCAGATATCGAGAAAAAGAATATAGAAATAAATGTACAGGAGGAATTTGCGTGTAGGAAAATTAATAACACTTTTTCCCAAGACTATGTAATCTATATGTGGAAATCTGTAAACTGTTAATAGATATCATGATTAATAAAAAAAAGATTGATTCTTGCTTTGTTATGTATAACTCGATAGCAAACATAAATCATAGCAACAATCACATCGCACATCAACAGCCTATAATAGTCCACTGCTGGACATAGGCCTTTCTTTAGAAAGGAGGTTTGGCCTACTATACCACGCTGGCCAGACGGGTTGGTATAGGGTTTGTTTCAAGTTTTCCTTCTCTTTGCAATGCTGCTGGCATGCGTAGTCTGCTTCCTTATACCTGCATACCTGCATACTGCATACTGCATACCTGCATACCTGCATACCTGCATACGTAAATCATAGCAACAATACGACAAAGCATTTGAAAGAAAACAAATTTACTTCTGTAGAGTTGTAAAGGCACCCTGTCTGGTACTCTTTGAAAAAGAATCTTAAATGTTTGTGTAAGAATGTAAGTTGTTATATTTTCTATGTATACATATCCCTTTACGGCGCAGTATATAAAATTCGTCGTCGTTCTGACTACCTATTGACACATTAAAACAAAAACCTAAAATTCCCGGCTACAATTAAGTGAAGTGTTCACGCAAGTCAAATCTTGGTGAGGCTTACGTTTTAAACTCCGACGACCATAAAAGCTTTTAGAAGCTGTGTGCGGAAGGGAACTAATTGCACACCCATGGTACGCTTGCTCAGTGACGTGAATAAGTTCACAACGAGCATACGTAGCAGCCGGTACTTGCCTCTCTTTACTTCCCGAAGGACGCTGTTAAACTTATGTATATTATTTTAGAAACTTGTGTCGTCATTTCGTCGTGTTTTAGGTGAATTAAGGAAATAAGTGGTGAAAATATATCCGTTTATGTTATGAGGAAAATACTTTTGACGTGGCCTATATTAAAAATGTACATTACATTAGTACAGGTGCCCAGTTAAAATTACGACGTACTTTCCGTTTTTTGGAAGTTGTAAAGGATAATCTTCACTTCAAATATAAGAAAAACATTTTTTTCTTAAATATACTAGTAGATGCTAATAGATTATATCTTTGATATGCTTTTTTTTTTGTTTATTGTAAGCGTGAGGCTGGGCGTTTATAAATAAACTTTTGTTGGCTATACTTATTCATTAGAATATTTTGTCCTAAACATACATTCTGTAGCAATTAATATCCTGAATATTCATTGCCCACTTATGATAGAGCGATATACGACACCCTCGTTACCTGTCGCAAGAAAAGCTTATGTGGTAGATGCGAATATAGTTACTACTAATTTATTTAATCGGCTTTCGATACGCAATACAAACGTTAGTAGCGTGTACGAAAGCTGTACTTGGTATGTATACAGATTTATACAGGTTATATAGGTATGTATACAGATTTCGATACACGCTTTTAGCAATATATGTATATAAGTATGTAAGGTATAAGGCCTATGTCTATCAGTGGACTGCGATAGGCTGATGATGATGATGAAGGTATAAGTATCTCTTAAACGTATTTTTCGACAGAAAATTCGAGTCAACTTGCAACAACAGTTTCACACACTACACTATTCGATTTCCTTTATAATCGTTGCTATCTATCACAAAAACCTTTTTACAATTCATTGGTAGAAATTGAGCTTAGGGCGCTTGTACAAAGGGGGGAAGTGTTTTTGCCATGGGATAGGGCCCGACTAGGCATGGTGTCAATTCGGGGAGGACCTGAAATAACATGGTCCAGGTCCTCCCAGAGTAGGGCACCTGAGGCCGGACATCGGGGTGGTTTTTAGTGGAATCACCACATACTCCTAGCTCCTAGTCCCGAGGAGCAGGAGATCCGAAGGGGTTTTCCACCCCGTCAAAAAAAAGGGGGCTTATAAAGGCAAATGTGTGTTTGTTTTTGGTTTGTTATGCTTTGTGCAAAGTAAATAGGTGTGATTTAACTACTTAACCAGTTATCATAAAAAATGTATACACATCACACCACACCTACAGCCTTTAATGGTCCACTGTTGGACATAGGCCTCTCCTTAGTAAAGAGGTTTGGGCCTACCATACCACGTTGGCCAGACGGGTATGTATAGGGTTTGTGTCCAGGTCTCTTAATAACAGCAGTTTCCGGATCCACACGTAAAAAAAAAGGGTTTGTGTCAAGTTTTCCTTCTCTTTGCAGTGCTGTTGTCATGCGTAGTTTGCTCCCTTAGTGGGCTTTTACAACACCCACGGGATGAATAATGGTGGTGACAAATTTGTATACACGTACGTAAAATCTATACTACCGCTTGAAGAAGTTTGTTTATCTTAAAAGTTGTGTGACACCTCAGGTTTGAATCTAGGTGTACCTTCTTGCACCAGGGACTTCCTTTCTAGGGTATACGTGGTTCCCCGGCTATTAGTACCCGAGACGGCGTGCGATTTTAGTCGGTTCGTGTCCGACATGCCACCGATAGGTGGTATCCGAGGGGATTGCCGCACGGAAAAAAAAAGATGTACCTTCTTATGCTATGAAGTCGAGTTCTATCATTACTTCAATCTTTGTATTATTTTAGGTATTATAACTTTCGTTCTCGTTTCGTGTCTCAAGACTCCCTACGCTTTTGTTACGAAACAAGGAAAGCATAGTACAAAATTTTCAATATGGGCAATTTCTATTCACAAAATAAATGGAATGCTTTAATTAAGTTACTTATACATCTCTCTTAGGTTATTTTCGGCAGTCTTCTAAATGAGGTCTTTCGATACTATGTAAAGTATTTGGGGATTGGCAAAAATACTGCACAGTACAAAAAAATATATCCGAAAGTTAAGTTAAAAAAAGTATGATATGACTTGAAACGTCCTCATCGAAGAATGAGTTTTCTTAGATGTTTGTCATTATTACTTACAACTTATGAGTTTTTTGTGTAAGTCCTACTAATCTAAAGTTCACAGTGTGCACCTGATAACCGACATACACGCCGGCGAAGTCGCGGATAAAAGTTAGTAAGATAAAGTAAAAATAATCCTACCCATTATAATAAATTGGTCTCTGTTGAGTGAATTTTACTTTCCATTACGTTTTAGACAATGAAATTAAAAAGGACATAACCTACTTATTTGGTCAAATATAGTTTTTCAAGTAGATACTAACCAACACAATACTTCAATCCATACGACTAATCGTTTTAAACTATCTAAAGTACCTACATGTAAGTCAACGCATCGTTAGCTTCATAAAGGGGTTGACGGTGTCGAGGTGTCTTTCAGTTCATTGAACATGCCGTCACGCAGGATTTGGGACAAGTTGACAGATCGCAAGGGTTATATTATCTCTGTTATGCGTTTTCGTTATTGTGTTATATTTGACAGTACTGTCAGTCAGTTCTGTTTTAGATGCTTACCGTACTTTTTTTTTTCAAATTTCATTTACAGTCACACAAAGTCACTTGGTACTCTTAAATAACAGCTTTTTTCATTAGGTTATTTCTTTCATTTCGAAATTTTATAGTTGCTTGTCGTTTTGCTATACATTTTAACAATTTCTTCTGGATTTTGCTTTATCGTAGTAGACAACAGGTGTCAATTCCCTCCAATACAAATGGAGGATCCTTCGACCAGGTGATTATGTCTAGCGGGCCTCGGCCCAACGGTTAGTGTTTGAAAGTTGTATGTATATTATACTAATCGACACGAGAACTTTATTTGCGCGATGCAAGATTAGTAGTTATTCTGTGTGATTCGTTGTACGTGGAAGTCGCCACAGATACCATTTACAAGTCTCATATTATTGATACTAGTAGAAATTTATTAAAACTAAAAATTCGGATCAATGAAATACATTTAAACCGTTCTATGCTCGTTAACGATACTGAATTTTATTATAATAGCACTCCTCAGGATACCAATAATTCGATATAGAAAAAGACACTAGGCTACCAGGTGACATGTATGAGATGAAAGCGCCTTGTTTACTGACCAGCATTGAACTCCGTGCATGAATAGGTCTCAAAAGCCGTGTGCACCACTTAGGCATTCATTGCTGACTGCCTCCCTTACAGCGTACGCCCGCATGGG